TTAACTGTCATGAAGAGAAATTCCTCTTTCTTAAAACCATTTACTTGTGGCATTTCTGTTCTTGTACAATAGAAAACTAAGACAGTTACATCATAAGAAAAAGAAATCAAATAATGATCACATTTTCTCAAATATCACATCCAACACCTACCTTCACATAAACATACACACATATATAATGGGGGGAAAGACAAAATGGTGTGAATATGTTCTGGCATCACATAGTACGCCCATACACACATTATACAAGTGGCGTGATATCTAAAGTATAAATTTTATCCTCATTCATTGGACCAAAAAAGGTAATGTCTAATCATGATTGTATAATAAATACATAATAATAAATATGGACTATATAATCCGTAGTCAAATGTCATGAATTGAGTTTGGAAGTATCCCTGTAATTGGAAGACAGACAATAAAACCATGCTTGATTTGAGGCAGTTTGTAGCTGGGCACACATGTGATGATTCTCCTTACAGCTGATATGTACCCAGGTGGATCATACCGAAGACCACTCTGGGATGAAATCACCCAATAACAGGATGGTCACATTGTGGGCAAGGCATTGTGTACCTAAGTCCAGATATCATAGCACCAAACCCACAGGAACAATGATGCAGGCGTGGACATGCACTGTCAGCACAGGTGCCCCGGGTGACCATTAATCTCCATATGGGTATGAGCACAGAAGCCAGCCAGTCAGTTAGGACACAAGAGTACAGCTCTAGCTACTGGCCTTGTCAAACTGAGTGTTCTCCCTGGCCTGTGAATCTCCTAGATCTGCTACAGGGAACCAAATATTTATATCAAAAGACATCAAGATGTATCATTAAATCTATCAAACAATAACAAAAAATGAAGTTGACATTGTCAATATATGAAAAATAAAGTAGTATAAAACAATTATGAAAACAACGTATGGTGTTTGCATCTTATGCAAAAGAGTGATTGTGTGTCTTATTTCCATAAAATATGGTATTAACTTATAACATAGTAAGATTATCTCATTCTTTTGCTGGTAATTATAATATTTAAAATTTATGATTTAAGTTTTTCTGAAAAGCCCTTACTGTTACCTTAGTTTTTAGTACTTTAATTCTTTTTAACATAGTATCAGATTGTTGTTGTTTTTATGTGCCATTGAGTCACTTGTGACTCATAGTGACCTTATGCATAACAGCCCTAAACCCTGTCAATCTGCCTGTCTCTGACATGCCTATCCCCATTACCCCATTGAAGGAATCAACCCATCTCATCGAGGGTCTTCCTCTCCTGTGCCATTCCTCAAGCCTCCCAAGCATGATGGCTCTCTCCTAGGTCTGATCCCACCTTACAACATGTTCAAAGTATGTCGGACAAAGTTTCAGAGTCCTTGCCTCCAAGGAGCATCCTGGTTTCACCCTCTCCAGAATGAACTTGCTTATTCTCCTAGCAGTCCATGGTATATTCAATATTCGTCTCCAGCACCAAAGCTCAAAGGCATCAACTATCCTTCTATCATCCCTAGTCATTGTCCAACTCTCTGAAGCATAACAATAACTACAAATCATCATGTAAAGGATCAGATTATTAATAAAAAATGAAATGATTTATCTTTTGGTGAATTAATAAGAAAAGATAAAGCTGCTGATAGACTGGGAGTAGATGGAGAGTAGGAACCAATTTTGAGAGTCTACAAAGGCTTTTAAATATCATAGTTCTAATTTTTCTTTGGGGAGTTCTGGTGATAAAACTCTTAGTGATTTATGTTGCCAACCTTCTGAAGGTGCCACCTCTTTGATGGTTCAGATCTATAAGTAGCTTCATTTTTTTTAGGAAATTATTAGAGTTTTAATGTTACTTTATGGTCAGAAGAAAACTCAGAGAAATAATTGTCTTTTTTTATTTTTTAGCTTGCCTATTTCACAATCAGCACTGTTGGCACCAACATTCAGGAAATCAAAAGACAAATAGTACTGTGAAAGTCTTCTCTCAGGGACCTCCCTGGAGTACTGAAGAGCAATGATGGCAGTGGAGACTAAGGTGTGCTGGATATAAGTTTTGGTCTTCTCAATTACTTGCTATGCATCCAAGTGTTGCACAGGAACTGTGGATGATAGAAGGATCAATACATTTCAGCTGTTATGCTGGAGAAGATTGGTGAAACCAAGCTGCTCCCTGAAGACAAGGATTTTGAGGTTCCATCTCACATACTTTGGGTATGTGGCCAGGAGGGACCGGTCCTTGGAGAAGGATATCAAGTTTGGAAGGGTGGAGGGACAGCACAGGACAGGAAGACTCAGGAGGAGATGAATTGACTCAGTGACTAGAGAAATGGGAATTAGTCTATCGGGGACAATGAAGATTGGCTCCAGATAAAGCAGGATTCAGAGCTAGTGTACATAAGGTCACTATGAGTCACAGGTGATTCGATGGAATATAACAACAGCAACATCAGAATTATATATAAGTTATCATTCGGGATGCTTGGTTTTCTTACCCTTAAAAAAACAAAAAACAAACAAATCCATATATTTATTTGTAGAATTAGTTTTATTTACATTGTGTTTTGCTCATGCGTATGGTTTTCCTCCCTTTCAATCAGCTTACTAATAACCTCCTTCATGAAAGTGTATAAGTCAGCTACTTCAGACATACCTCATTCTCTCAGATTCCCCTATAGATGGACAATTTTGGTTTGTCCATCCCTATCAAACCTGTACTCTAGGAGAATAAGCATGACTTTTGCTGAGAAATCTCAGTAGCTTTGTGGCAGAAAGATGGGCAAACTCTAATTTACAGTCTCTGAAAGTCCATTGGAGGGTCAGCTATGTGTCAGTTTTGACTTGACGGTAATGGATGGTGAAGATGATGAATTTTATTTGAGGAGCCCGGGTGTTATAACTCACAGGGATTGACAGTGGATTTGGATTGCTAATTCAAATGCAGTTTGGATCCACTAGTGGCCCTTTTGAGGAAAGATAAACAATCTCCTGCCACACAAATTATAGCCTTAGAGACCCACTAGAGAATCAACCTTGAGCTGCTTCCAAACCAACAAGAGATTAGTTGGAAAAATTTTCTTTATTTTAGCTTTTTCCCCCCAATGGGAAATCGTCCTTTTATTCTTAGTTTATAAGCAGACTACACTTTTACCACATAGTGGGAATAAGATTAACATTCTAATTATGAAGCTTCATTTCTTGGCTTTTAAATAATGTAACAATTAGAAGCACATAGGCACAAACAATGGGCCAACTTCATAAGCTACAGTTAGGGAGAATAGATAAAATATCTGTCTTTAAAAGCAGGATGAGATGAGGATGTGCACGGGGAGGGGGATTAATCACAGGACTGTACAATTTGATGGATGGGGGTTAAGAGAAATTGAAAAGAAATTTGTTCTTAAAAACAATGAATTCAAATTTTGTACATTAACTAGTAGGGAAAATTTTTTTAAAAGATAATATGTTTTGTTTTAAAGAATGATATGTTTTATAAACAGATGCATAAGAGAAATTAACTTCTGTTGGCTTCAACTACTAGAGCAAATTCTGTGACCACCGCTGAGGGCTTGTAATACTCCTCTATCACATAATTGCTATGGTTTTCTTAGTCACAATTTCCAGTTTCCTGCTGGCTGTTTTTGTTTGCAAATGCACTTTTATTTCCAGTAATACAATTATAAAGACGAAAATTGGTCTTAATTAAGTTAGAACACGACAACAATTGTCATTTCCTTTGCCTGTACAAACAATAATTTTGCTCCCTATTGAAGATGGCCTTAACAATGAAAAATGTTAAGAAGCTGCACTGCAATACCAAAAGCACTTAGTTTGAATCTACCAACTGCTCCAAGAAAAAACGATGTGAAATCTCCTCTTGTGTGATTTACTGCCTCTTCAAGCCCGCTGGATGGTTCTGGCTCGATGGCACACAACAACTACAATCGAGTAATTACATATACAGGTTCTATCGATACAGATATAAATGAATTATAATTTTCCTCGTAGGAAAGAAGAGCAGAAAGACACATTTTGCACTGTGGCAAAGGTCATAACCAGTATCTGAATAAAATGTATTGTGATAGTATATTAATTAATATATACACAGCCTCATTAATACCCACACTTCTGAGGATTTTCCAACATGGCTGGCATGTTGGTCAAATGGAGATCCAGAACACAGGCTATAAACTCAATCTTTTCTGTAACACTCAGAAAATAAAATCTGAATACAATGAACAGAATAGAGATAAACTAGCAAACAAATCTATGCCATTAAGTTACTCCTGACTCACCGTGACTTTATGGAACAGAATGGGATTCCCCCTCATTGTCTTTCCAAATCTGCAACAATCTTTACAGGGGTAGTCTGCTATATTTTCCAATCACTAACAGCTAAGAATTCAAATACTGGAATTCTAAGAAGCACTCTAAATGCACATCCATCAAGACAAATTTGTTTGTTATTTTGGCAGTTCATGGGATTCTCAGTATTCTTTGCCAACACAACAATTCAAAGGCATTGAATTTTCTTCTGCCATCCTTATTCATTGTAAATGGTAGCATGTACATACATAAATAAACTTCTAAAATAATTTAGAACCATTCTATACTTTAAGGAGTATTGGTAGTATAGTGCTTTGTGTGTTATGCTGCTAACTGAAACATTACTAGGATTCTGAAGATCAAATGTTCTACCATAGTGGAGAAAAACAATTTGAGTTTTGAAACTACAATTTCAATAATTGGAACTCCAGTAAAAAACCTTTTCAACACATATAATATAAAATTATCAAATAGCAATGTTTATATAATGTAGCTAGTTGTTTATGTCTACATTAGCGTGAGTATAATTATATTTTATTTTTTAAAAACATATATAAAACTTTAAGCTTTTTAAGTTAAATATGGTCATATAGTTGAAAGTCAATTTTCATTTCTTAGGCAGTACATTGTGTAATGGTCATACAAATAACGGTGTTACATACATCATCATCGAATATGGGTATTTACCTGAATTACACTGTCCCCAGGGCTCATGTCAGTGTAAACATACACATCATAGGATATTTCAGGGAAAGTTGGGGTATTATCATTTGCATCCATCACTCTAATATTGACAATAACTGGTTCACTTTCTTGTACACCATCAAATGCTGTCATCTGTGGGAATTGTGAAACCAACTTTAGTTGAGAATCATGCAAATATAAACAGAACAAAATGCACTGTCAAAATTTACAAAGTTTCTCTTATATGCCTTGACAGGTTTGAAAAAAAGTGCTAAGATGTTTGGTCAATAAAATAAAGGAATAGGACTATAATACTACATACAATCAAATGTTTTGAAGTCCTAACAAACAAATATATGGGATTATTTCATTTCATTCCAAGTACATTTGAAATAAGCAGCTGTCCATGTCTTTGGAACTTGAAGTAGGCAGCTAATGTGGGAATTTACTTTTATATGATCATTTAAAGAAAGAAGAAAATATTTTTGAATTTTTTCACTGCTACATATTTGATATAGAATACACAGGGCTTATTAAGAACAAATAACCTACCTTAATTAAGAACAAATAACCTAATCATGTGACAAAATTATAAATACATCAGAAATATAATAAAGAGAGGGAGGATAAGAAATAGTTTTTGCAATATTTGTAATATTTCAATATAAGTCAATAATGAGTGTATTTCACAGATCAAAATTTCAAGATTTTTGTTAATCCAAAAATTACTATTCTGCTATGGGAAAGAACAAGAATGCAACTCTATAAATTTATAAAAGGAAAGAAGAAAAATTTTTGAACAATTTTTATTGCTGATGTATTCTCTCTATGTCAATTTCCTCCTGTTTAGGTTCCTATGTGTGTTATATGAATTGCATGAGTTTGTGCTATTGAAAAGATTACATCCTTTCCCTCAAATCCTTTAATTAAATAAACATCTCCTTCAGACACCCAAACACACATACATCATCAACAACAACCCCGCATATCTATGTACAGAAGTTCTTACTGAAAAGGTGTATGTCTGTTGTTCTTCTCGGTCCACTGGTTGAAGTAAGGTGAGGTAGCGAGTGATACCAGTCTGTGTGACAGTGAAGACTGAGGTGTAATCATTCAGGAAAAGATGAACCTCTGGGTCTTTTGTCTTTGAAATAAAAAACAAGACAAAACATTATTTAACATTTTAAGTAAATACCAAAGCATCTTCATTTCTCCATTACCAAGAATTAGTTTTGAAAATATATCCTAAATACGTAAATATAAATGTTATTAGAAATTATTTTACAAAGAGGGCTTTGACTTGAAGACAAGCTAACCTATCCAAATACACTATCAACAATTTTTTTTTGCATAACAAAATGCTGATATTAAGTACTAGTTATAATTAGTATCAATAAAAGTATAAACAACAGGATGATTGAAAAAATACTATTTTCTCCAACTTCTTTCAAATAATATCAAGAAAAAGAAATTTGAATCCAGGATTTTAGCTACAGAATTTTACCCTTGCTTCATAGCTAGTATAAATTGAACATATATATTTTTCTACTCTGTTCTCACTTAAGATGTAAAATAGATATAAAATTGGTTATGAATTATTCAATAGCTATAATTTCATGCTTTCTATTTCTTATTTTAATGTCATAAAGATTCTCTGAAGGGAAACCCACTATTTATTTTAATGACTATATTTCAAATGATTGGATCAAAAATACACACATTTACAGCCATCAGGAAATCAAAAGAGGAATTGCCCTGGGGAAATATGCAGCCAGGGAACTCTCCAGAGTATTGATGCCTTTGAGTGGTGGTGCTGGAGAAGAGTATTGAACATAATGTGGAGTGCCAAATGAATAAACATGTCTTGGATAGGAAGCCTAGGATTTTGAAGCTTCATCTCACACACTTTGGGCACTTGGTCAGGAGAGACAAATCCTTGGAGAAATTTGGAAGATTGAAAAGACAGCACAATGGAGGAAGGTCCCAGAAGAGATGGATTGACACAGTAACTGGGGTAATGGGGTTAGGTGTGTTAGAGTCAGTTAGCCTGGCTCAGGAGAGGGCAGGCTTCAGAGCTGTTGTACCATGGTTGCTATGAGTTGCAGGTGACTCAACAGCACATAACAACAACAACAAACATATATGCCTGATAAAGTACATGCTTGAAGAGGGAGGTGAAGGCAAAAGTTCAAGACTAAGAAATAATCATCTTAGCTTCACTAAACCTTCATAACTGTACTGTCATTTCTGAAAGATGAGGAATATAGAGTCCCCATGCAGGTAGCAACTCACACTTTCCTTTAACCACCAGGCATCAATTTTTGCAATCCTAAAAAGAATCAAAATGTAATGTAGGAGGTCTGGGTTGGTATATAGAATAGAAAGGTAGTTATGCTAAGTGAAAGGAGAATATTGAAGAACAGTAGACACTCAGGAGTTGTCAACTATCAGAACAGCTGGCAATTCAAAGTCATTTGCAATCATAGGTGAGAAAGACATGGCAGTCAGTTCAGTAAAGATTTTCAACCACGAAAACCTTATAAAGCATCTCTACTCTGTCCTCTAGGGTTACTATATGCTGGAATAGCTTGATAGAATTAGATTGTTTTGTTTTATTTAGATTCTCAGAAGGTCTTGATGGGGAATTAAAGGAGTTAAGATATATTTATATAAACAAAAAAAATAACTTTGCTACAGAAGAAGAAGCAAACTTAGTATCTTCTAAAATGATATGCCCCAGTAAAAGTTATTTTAAATGTGGTATTAGAAGCTGAAAGTGGAGTAGACTATCAAGGGGCTTAATGAGGGGCTTGTTAAGCAATTATGTTGACAAAAATAGAACCTATATTTTTTTAAAAAATATTCTGTATACCAGTAAGAAAGTAAAAATGAATATTACAATAAAAATGGAGCATGAGCCATATATACTTTCATCTATAAAAAGTATTTTAGATTATCAAACGAGAACAACATCCTTTAAAAGTTATATAATATGTGAATATGTTACATAACTTTGAAATTTGAGCCTGCCTACAATGAGTTACATATTCATTATTTCTCCTTCTATGGAAGCTTCTACGTTCATGAGCTTTTTAAAGAAACACTGTGATACTGATTTATTACAAAACAATGAAACACATAATTGATATAGATAATTCCATTTTTTATAAAAATATCAAATATATTAAGGCATGTAGAGAGTTAAGGGACTTTATACTCATCAATTTTTTTCTCAATTTGTATTCTGATCTATAGTTTGGGTTTTCAAAGTTTGTATCAGTAAAAATTAAAAAAAAATCATCAGGATTTAGCAACCCACACTGTTATGAATTTATTTTTAATCAATAGTTTTCTTTAGGAAACTGTATGAGAGTCACATGCTCATTGTTTTGAGGAATTAGGACATTAATGGACAGGTAGTGATCTAGTTTACTTTTCTGATAAGAACAGAGAAGAACAGGTTTCATGTAGTCCTTATATATATAAAGTATTTAAAACAAGCTTTAGTGTTCTGAATTAATAAGTACAAAGTAACATGAATAAACTCTCTTTTCTCTCCACTGATGGGGGTAATACATATTTTATCTTTATGTTATATATAAATGTACTTTGATTTATTAAATTTTAATATTTTTATGTTGTTGATGTGTACAGTAGAGTCAGAACCAACCCATAGCTCACCCTCTGTTGGGTTTGCATAGGCAGCTAATCGCATAGAAGGAGGTTGTCCATCCTTCTCCTGCAGAGCATCTGGTGGCCTTGAACCATATCCCTTCGAGATTGTAGCACAGCTTCTTGCCACTAGGCCACCAGAGCTTCCTATTTTTTTGACCCGTTTTTATAAGTACAGTTCACTTTATACGCACTCAAAAGCACACAAAAACATGAATACAAAGTAAGCAAACTCACTAATGCTAACACATCAAATTAATGAATATAAAATTGAAATAAATATGTGCTATCATATAGAACAAACAAAGCACTATCATACAGAAAGCTATATTCCAACATGATAGTCTATGGAATTTAAAATCAATTTTGCAACTTCAGCTGGGATAAAGACATGATAAAACACACAACACGCTTTCATATATATACATACATATATATGTACTTATATATAGTCTCACAAGCCCATTCATACGCACATAAACACAGAAATACACATTTATGTGCATATATATGTGTGTATATTTGCTTATGTGTATATATACAAAGAATATAGCATAAAATGACTAATTTTTATCTATCTGATAATTTCAATTAATTGCTTTATGTGTTGTGTGTCAGAATCAATTCTCTAGTCGGTTTTCAGAGGCAGTAAATTGCATGAAAAAAGAATACCCTCCCTTTTTTGTTCTTGTTTCCTAGAACAGTTAGTAGTGGATTTGAACCATCAGCCTTTGGTTTGACAGCACAGTTCTTCACCATGAAACCACCAAAGCGCTCACCACTACTAATTTCAATTAATTAACAGTGCCAAATTTAATTGATTAGTATAAGTTTTGTATGTACCCAATTCAATATGGTCTAAATTCAAGTTTACATTTTTTCTGAAAGAATGGCAAGATGAATTATGATTACAAATTGCAGACTAAAAGCAACTCTTAGTAATTATCTTCGATGATATTCATAATGAAATTTGAGTATTCTGGGTATCTTTTTAATGCTAAAAAAATAGTGGCCTACTTATTTTAGGAGAAAATACAGCAAAATAGAAAATAAACCACAGCAATGAACAGCATAACAAATCACAAAATTAACACCTAGTACCTACAGGAACACCACCTGGTGGAACCTAGACAGAAATTAAACATGAAAAATAATTTAAGTAATTGTTTACAAACATACACGTAGCGAGAATACAACTGTATATTAGTAGAAAATGAAAATGATACAACCACTTGCTAATACATTTAAACTCAAAACCTTAATAAGTTGTGTATAATTTCTACTTTTCTGTATTGTGATATCTTTCACAAATATGAAGAACTGACAGTATTCATAAGACATGTAACTATATGATGCCTTTAAAGTATATTGAAACATTTATACAGGCAAGTGAATATAAATAGAATTATGACTGAATCATTGCTCTTCTAAAAGCCAAACACATGAGCTTTGTTTATTATTGTTCGGTTATTTATACTACCAGGGAAATGGAGGGGGATAACTTTTGGTGACTCTCCCATGCAACACCTGTTGATCTCAAGCATGCCTCTTAGAAATCTTGTGTATTATCTGCTTTCTGTTGTGGACTATTTTGAAGTGATGGCAAAGTAACGCACGTTAAGAAGCATATAGATGTGCAAAAGTCCTATATATGTAAATATATTCTAACTTTTCTAGTTTGAGTGGGCCAATAACATTTTTGTGAACACTTCAGTGATGACTTTTGGGACATTTAATATAGTATATATATGAAATTGAATTAAACGACCTCTAAATTATATGGATGTATATAACATTATGAAGATATAAAAAGTACATCTCCTAGTTTGTCATTAGATTATTGGGATGTTTTTCAGTCTCTGGGTGGCCATTAAGTAGTAAATGCACAGCAAGAATAAATATAAAATATTTAGTTATTGTATTAAAGTATCTTTTAAATTTTGCAAATCATGTCCATGAAGTTGTAGTATATTGTAGTATAAACTTCCAAATTTAATAAATACAGTTTCTAATGATTTTTTTTAATAGCAATTCAACTTGCTTTAATCTAAAAGCCTACCCTACTGTGACCTAGTCAATTCTACCTGTTAGCTGTCCACCACCGGGTTTCCAATGTGGTGATTCTTTGGGAGGAGATTAGTCATTTTCTCTCAAAGAACAGCTGATAGATTCTAAGTGTTGGGCTTTTGGTTAGCAGCTCAACAGGTAAATACACTAGGCCACCAGAGCTCCTTTGACTAAGGTACCTACCTGCTTAGTTAATCAAATAATAATCTATGAGTATCTGTGAAGCTGTTTTGTAGATGTGGTAAGCATCAATAATCGACTGAATTTAAAGTAAATGACAATCAATTGACTTTAAAATAAATGTGGTTGTGCTTAATAATCTGAGAAGCGACATCTAATCAGTTGTTGTTGTTGTTATGTGCCGTTTAGTCGTTTGCGACCCCTAGTGACCTTATGTACAACAGCCCTAAATCCTGCTCTATCCTGTACCAATCTCATTGTCTCCAACACACCTACTCCCCTTCCCCAGTCACTGAATCAACTCATTTCATCAGGCATCTTCCTCTCTTGCTCTGTCCTTCCACCCTCCCAAGCACGGTGTCCCTCTCCAAGGACTGATCCCGCCTTGCAATATATCCAAAGTATGTCAGACGAAGCTTCAGAATCCTTTCCTCCAAGGAGCAGCCCAGCTTCACCCTCTCCAGGACGAACATGTTTGTTCTCCTAGCAGTCCATCGTATGTATATTCAATACTCTTCTCCAGCACCAAAGCTTAAAGGTATCAACTCTCCTTCTATTCGTTGTCCAGCTCTCTGATGCATAACAAGTAACGGCAAAGACCATGATGGCCTGTATCAGGTGCACCTTAGTGTCCAGACTGATATCTTTGCTTCTCAGTACTTTGGAGAGGTCTCTGACAGTAGACTTTCCCAATGCAATTCATCTTTTAGAATCCTGGCTGCTAGTACCAAGAGTGTTGATTGTAGAGCAAGCAAACTGAAGTAGAACGTCATATAAGTAAAAGCAGATGTTTGTTCCTTGTACATTATAGTTGTTATTGTTGTGTAACTTTAAGTCATAACCAACCTACAGACGACCCTCCACCAGATTTTCAGAGGTACTATACAACATGCGAGGAGATAGTTCATATTTCTCCGATGAAGCAGTTGGTGGGTTAAAACCATGTACTTTTTTCCCAGTAGCAATGCAAGTCCTTATCACTAAGCCACTTTTAGTATAGTTATTGTTGTGTGCCATAGAGTCAAAACCAACCCATAGCTGACCCTCCAGAAGGTTTTCAGAGGCAGGATGAAATTTTCCTTTCTTCTCCCACTGACTCACTAAAAATATTAAAGGGTGTGTGTGTGATTTTTTTTCTTGTTTCATTTATCTTTTATGTGATCCAACATGATACTCATTAAACTTCAGGGGCTCTTTTAAAGGGAGGGTGTGTGTGTGTGTGTGTGTGTGTGTGTACTTTTTAGTGCCCTAATGTTGCAGAGGTGAAAGCACTTTAGTGATAACTAAACAGTTGACCTTTGTTCTCACGTTGTTCCACTCTACAAGAGAAAGACATAACTGACTACTTCCATAAAAATTCCAGCCTTGGAAAAACTAGGAGGAAATTCTACTCCATCCTTTAAGGTCACTATGAATCAGAACTGATGAACTTGAGGGAAGTTTCAATCATTTATCAGCTTTGAAAGGCCAGTTGTTTCCAAAACAGCCTCTGTTCTAAAAGTGTATTCATCACATTTTGAAGGTTTTTAATCTTCCAGAAAGATATACATTCAGAATTTTATAAAGAGGTCTTTGCCAAAGATTGCTAGACTAAAACTCCTTTGAGTGTCTTTTTCTTTCATTAGAGGGAAAAAAAAATAAAGTATTATAAAATATTTATGCTTGTCTTACTTATTTTTAAAATTTATTTTCCAAATTAAATAATGGACTTACATTTAATAATGAAAAAAGTTATGCAGCTTTGGTGCTAAAAACAGTAGCTGCCATCCACATGTAGCTTATTTCTATTTTGGAATAAACTTATACAATACAACAGACTCCCCTACCCTTTAACTTTCTAAAAAAAGGAAAAGAAAACAAAAGTCATTGCCTTGGAATCTGAATCAACTGTAGCTGACACTCAAGTAAATTTTTAGAGATTGTCCATTTTTCTTTTGCAGAGTTGCTGGTAGATTCTAACCTTAAGAGAAGAACAGCCTTTGGAATAACAGTCCAACTACTTATGAAGTATGTTACTGGAGCATGCCTTAATTGTAGATAATCTAAATTTAAATGCCCACATATGGCTAATACAAGCATTTTTTTTTTCTGCAACTCTCCCTCCCCCCTCACACACACATTATTACCTAAAGTTCCATTGGACAGTGCTTTTTAAGAGAGAGAAATGGCTGATTTGGGATACTTCGAATAGTAAATTTAGAAATCAAACTCCAACTCTGTAAAGTGAAAATATCATGGAAAATACTACAGCAGCTAGCAGAAAAAAGGAAACAGCGATTAGGAGAGCTCTGAGGATCTCATGACCTAAAAGAGAAGTACTAAGGCAGACTTCCCAGTTTGTACCTGTCAGTCTCTATTATCTTGTTCTCTCTCTGTTAATGGGCTTTCTTCATGAAATTGGCAAATTTAGCTACAGCAGCATCAGATTCACTGCACCTCTTTAATATATGATACGAAGTCTTCCAGGTCTATTTTTTTTTCTTATTAAATTCCTGGGTGAATTCTGTCTGCCAGGATATAGATTATCTGTCTCCCCTTCTTACACTAGCCACTGTCACTGTGGTAGAAAAGTACTCTGATATTTCTAATCCGGATGCCTTTCCACTCATGTTTCTACTGTCAGTTTCAGAAAGTTAGAAGGCAATGATGTGTAAAGTAGTGAAGTACCAGAATAAACATAGTCCCTGGCTGAAATGGGAGCTGATCAACCTCCCTTAAATGTCTGTCTTTCATAGAAAACCATCTGACTGGAAGAAATTTCCAGATCAAATGGTATTTCTATTTCCAACTTTTTTAGAAAGCACCATACTGCCTTCTATAGTGATTGTACCATTTTACAATCCCACCAACAGTGAATGAGGCTTCCAATTAATTTCTCCACAACCTTGTCAGCATTTGTTGTTTGCTGCTCTGTTGAACTTTGCTATTGTTACTGAGTGGGGCGTTTATACTTATTTAGTAAGTTATTAGTTTTTCCCTATAAATCTATATTAATAGAATCTGTTATTTGCTAATTTAGCAAACAAAAGATGAAGCATTTCTTTCCTGAATATCTGTAAACTAGGAGTGTGAATCAGGTAGGTGGGAGAAGAGAAGAGGGCAGGCAGGCAAAAACAAATCAAAACACAAAACCAGAAAAAACCCCAAAATACCCAATCTCCCAAACTCTCAAAAAACACCACAACAAAACAACAACTCCAGTTACCGAATTCAAGCATGTGTATATATTTTTTCATATCCAGGATTTGGCATTAAGTAATAACACTAAGATTGCCATTTATATTTGCACTGTTTGTTCTGTTCTATAATTCATGTAAAGATGTCTTTGTAATATTTCCTGCTGACTTAACTGTTACAATATATGCATTTTTAAAACAAGACGAGGTAATAACAGGCATAGATTGATAGTAACTAGGTATATAAAATATAGTGTATATGAATGATTGTATGAAACATAATGTAAATGAAAGATTGCTTAAAACACAAATATATGAATAAAATACAATGCAAATGAATTATTTATATATAAGCCAATAACTATAAACTCTTAAAAAAACCCAAAACTCACAAGAAAAAAATATAGACATATTTTACTTACATCTTCTATGTCTTTGTCCAGAACTACAATTCTCAGTGGGGTGGTCAAATTTAGACTGTCAGATATGGTTGATCCCACTGGGGCAGATTCCAGGATATAGCCTTGATAACTGGGCATTGTGAAATACGGACTCTGATTGTTTTCATCCAGTATTTCTATGTGTAGGCTGGCAAAGGCTGGGAGAGGATGACCATTGTCTTGTTCTGCCTAGACAAAAAAAAATGTCCAAAAATTATATATAATGAAATCCTTTAGACACATTATTTTTTATGCTATATTTACTTGGTATCACTATAGTAAGCAGAAACACAGTACTTCAAAAGTAAAGGCTGTTAAAAATCATAAATAAATAAATAGAAATTCAGAAAGCTTCTTTAATCTGCTTTGTCTTCTCCCTTTACAGCAAATAGTCTTTTTAAAGCCATAACAATGAATTATTGCTTTTCTGTTTGAATAGTGGAAGAAGATACACTGTGTTCAAATAAAGTAAGGCAAACAAAATAATAAGATGTTTAATAGATTGCTTGTAAAGTATTTAAATAACAGACTGAGGAAAACGTATTCAAGAAATAAATGTATTACATTTACTTTTTTCTTTTTATTCCACACAAATTGCTAAATAATCAAATAATTCATATTATCATTTACATTTAATAAATTATGGCTATACTTATTGCCTATCAAAATTCCTACAAACCATTTTACAAAGGAGAAAGATAATATCAATGTGACATTCTTAATAGCTATGAAATTTCAAATATCACATTGATAATATCTTTGTCCTTTTTAAAATGATTTGTGGGAATTTTTCTAGACAATAAATGCAGCCTTGTTGTTGTGTACCATCGAGTTAGAACTGACCTAGAGCGGACCCTCTAGAGGATTTTCGAGGCACTAAATCACATGAGATGAGATTGTCTATTGCCAATGTGAAGGCAAGCAGTTCGAATTCACTAGCTGCTCCAAGAAAGAAAAGTGGGCAATCGCCTTCCATGAGTGAGATTTACAGCCTCTGAAAACCTTTGCCAGGGTCAGCTGAGGATTTATTCTGATTCGACAGTGCATAACAACAAGGCTACCTCCATTCTCTACTCAAATTCACAAAAACCATCTTATAAAGAACAGAGATAATATTAATATGATATTCTTAATAGCTAGTACATGCATAATATTACCTCCACTGAAATATTCATGTAAGATTAATGTTTATGAGCTAAATGGATTGTTGTTTTGCTGTTTACTCATAAATTTTTATCTTTAAAAAACAGCTTTTATTTTTAATATATTTTCTTAAAAAATCACTCTGTGAGTGGAAATAAACTGAGCTTTGTCTTTATGTATAGAAATATGTATACATCTTTTCAGATCAGAAAACAAACCATAAAATTAATCCTAATCATAGCCATATAAATGGAGCAAGATCAGGCATGAGGATGGCCTGGTCTGACCTCTATTGACCTCATAAAGTGGAATTATCTTCATCAACTAAATATTCACAGTACAAAACTGGTCCTTAACAGTCAGTCATGGGCCCCTGCTCTGCTGCACCTACTTCTACTAATCACTAAGTCCAATGTTTCTTGTAAATGACCAACAGAATTTATAGAGTCTCTCTTTTATTTTTTTACTTACAGTGGTGGGAATTATTAGGGAAACAGGTGAAGTATGAGGAAGGTAAAGGTTATCACACAGTGAAAGTCCAGGTTTAGTGAGCAGCAGTCCCAAGTAGATTACAAGTTAGACAGTTCTTAGTCAACAAATAAAAGTCCAGGTTCACCTCAGCAACACAAATGCAACAAGACTGAATTCATCAATTATCCAGTAAGCTTTGTCTCAGAGCGGTCACAAGTCAGCTCTTTTTCAATTATCCAGTAAGCAGAACATTTAAGTCTGCCTTTGTCTACCACCTCCAGGGTTCCATCAGGCTATACGTTGCCACATTCTCACTACGGTCTGGTTAGCACACTGTCACTCTCTTATATTGGTCTTACAGCTGTTGATGATGTAGAATGTGCTTAATAATGAACTACATATCCACGCTTCAGACAACTGCCCTGGTGGGGAAGAGGTAGAGGCTAAAGAAATGAATAGAAAAGTCATTCTCAAAAGTCCTAATACCATAAGATGATATTATCTCATGTATTATCGCAAAGTATCCACAGGAACTTTTAGCAAAAGAAGCTTTATCATGGTGGTGTTGTAAAATGGAACACAGTTTGGTATTTCCTCAAAAAGTTGAACATGGAAACTCTATAATACCCAGATATTTCAATACTAGGAATACTGTTGTTGTTGTTGTTCTTGTTATGTGTTGTCAAGTTGCTTATGACTCATAGGGACCCTATGTACAACAGGCCTAAACTCTGTATCAATCGCGGTCTACGACACACCCATTCCCCTTACCCCAGTCACTGAATCAATCCACCTCACAGAGGGCCTTCCTCTCCTGTGCCGTCCCTCCACCCTCCCAAGCATGATGTCCCTCTCCAAGGACCAGTCCCTCCTTACAAAAGGTCCAAAGTATGTTAGATGGAGCCTCAGAATCCTTGCCTCCAAGGAGCCACCTGGTTTAACCCTTTCCAGGAGCCAAGCAAACTAAAGCTGTGAACAATCTCAGTCTCTTCACCATCCATCTTGATGCTGCCAATTGGCCCAGTGGTGAGAATCTTTGTCTTCTTGATATTGAGCCTCAATCCATATTGAAGGCTGCAGTCCCTGACCCTCTGGAGCAAGTGTTTCAGGTCATCCTCAGTTTCAGCAAGCAGGGTTGTGTCATCTGCATAACTTAGATTGTTGATGGATCTTTCACCAATCCTGATGCCACACTTCTCATAGAGCCCAGCTAAAAAGGTATGGAGATAGGACACATTCCTGTCACACACCCTTCCCAATTTTGAACTATGTAGTGTTTCCTTGCTCTGTTCTGACGAATGCCTCCTGGTCCAAGTGTAGGTTTCACATCAGCACTATCAAGTGTTCTGGGATTCCCATTCTTCTTAGAGTGAACCACAGTTTATTATGATCCACACAGTCAAATGTCTTTGCATAATCAATGAAACATAGATAGACATTCCTGTGGTATTCCCTGCTCTCAGCTAAGACCAATGTAACATTAGTTACAGTATCTCTAGTACCACGACCCCTTCTAAACCCAGCCTGGTCTTCTGGTAGTTCTCTGCTTATGTGCTGTTCCAGTAGTTTTTGGATAATCTTCAGCAGAATCTTGCTTGCATGTAAAATCAATGATATTGTTTTGTAGTTTCCACACTCTGTTGGGTCACCCTTCTTTGGAATGGGAACAAATGTAGATCTCTTCCAGTCAATTGGTCAAGTGGTTGTTCTCCAGATTTCTTGGCACAACTTGGTGAGCACATCCAGGGCAGCATCTGTTAGTTGAAATATGTCAATTGGTATACCACCTATTCTTGGGGCCTTTTTTTGCTATTTCCTTCAAAGCAGTTTGAACTTCTTTCATTACCATAGGCTGTTGCTCATATGTTGTCTCATGAAATTCTTCTGTGTCTACCTCAAGGAAATTGGAAATGAGACAAATGGAGATTGTGCACCAGTGTTCATAACAGTGTTACTCACCATCACAAGAACCTGGAAAAATCCAAAGTGTGCAACCACAACTTAATGGATTGAGAAATTGTGGCACATTCACACAATGGAATACTATACAGCAATCAGGAGCAATGATTTCTAAAAATACTATATAACTTAAAACAGATTGGAGAGCATTATATTATGTGAACTAACTCACTCTCATAAGGAGAATTACAGCAGAAGACCATTATTGTAAAAATAGAAGGATACTAGTAAAAAATGTATGGAGATATAAGAAGGGAAAGGATAGGAGCAGAAGGATGAGGATGGGTAGGGACAAAAAACAGAGGGTTGTACAATTTGGTGGGCATAGGGAGGGGGTAAAGGAAATGGAAAAGATCCAGCAGGAACCAGAAAAGACAAATTAATGATGGGCGTGATACAATAGTGATTCATTTTAGAAAAGATAGTGCATGGAAATTACTTTATCAAACACAATGCAAATGAAGAATAGTGTGAAACACAATGAATAAAAACTCTGTAAACAAACCTATATAAAACAAACATTTAAAAAATTTAGAAAGATTATATCAAAATTGCCAGAAAAAAGTTTTAAAAAATTCCAAATATATCAGTAATGAGAAAAAAAAAGAAAGAGAAATTAGAGAAATAATTTCATTTATAGTAACACCTAAGAAAGTAAAATGCCTAGGAATAAATATGTCCAAAAAAGTGAGGAATTTAATAATAAAAACTAGGAAACATTTCTGAAGTAAATTTTTGAAACTTAAGAAATAGAGATGCTCTATGTTAACAGTTTGAAAGAAGAGTTAAAACAATGGTGAATGATAAGCACAAAGTAAGATATCTTACACTTCCTGACTTTAAGCTAGCATGCAGCTATAGCAATAAAAAAGCCATGATACAGGTATCATCACTGACACGTAGACTAGTAAAAGAAAACTGAGAGTCTAGAAAGTAATAAAAATGCCTATGGTTAACTGATGGTGCTAAGAGCACCAAAGAAAGGATTCTATATTCGATAAATGATGGTGGAAACTGGATTTTTAGATGCAGAAAAGTGAACCAAGATACATACCTTGTACCAATTATACAAACAAATAAAAAAAATTATGAATCTAAATGTACAAACTAAAACTATAACTTAGACTAAGAAACAGGGTCAATGCTCTCAGACCTAGTTTTCAAGAGTGGGTTATCTAACATATAAATGATAATGGCAAACTGGGAAAGAGGAAATAAATAAATAGTACCTAGTAAAAAATTTTAAACTTCTCATCCATCGAAAGACCTTACAATGAAAATGAAAAGATAAGCTACTGAATGAGAGATTATTCTCAAAATCTATAAATCCTGTAAGAATCTAATAATCAAAAATATATACACTTTAATAACTTCAACAAAAATATAAATAATTCAGCTCTGAAATGCACAAAGAGCTTGAATAGATATTTATTTCTCCAAAGAGGACACTGTAATGGTCACAAATCACACGAAAATAAGCTCAATGTCATGAGTTAATAGAGATATAAAAAAATCAAAATAACAATGATAATACCATTTCCTGCAGTGTACAACATGTCAGATTGCTTTAAGGACAATCATTCAACCACAGCACATGAGTCATGGGAGAAAGATAG